ACACAGTCTCACAGCAAAGTCCCCAGTCCTCCGACTCTGCCGGTTTTCCGGCTTCCTTTTCTACAAGGTCCTGTGACTTTTAGATGGGGGAGCGTTTTGTGATACAAACATCTCTGCATACTGATCAGTTGTGGTTTTCTGTGGTTGTCTCTGTCGGTTGCAAAGAGCAGATTACTTGATGAAGTGTGAGGACTACATTTACCTGTGGGTATAAGGATATCTTTAACTTTAATTTTTTGATAATTTCATACATAAGTGCAATGTATTTTGATCATATTATTCCTCCTTCCCTTCTCTTAAGTTTGCCCCTAAATTTCCTAGTGAAATTCATGGTCTATAATTTTTTAACTATTATTGTTATGTAAATATATTATATACTTAATATATTAGTGTTGCCTGTCTGAACAGGAATATTAAGCTGTTTGTGATTTTAATTTGAGGTATTTCATTTTGTTAATTAATTTTATTCATAGGTATGTTTTGGGTTTCTTAGTAAAACTTACTGGTGTATAGGAAACCTAATAATCTTTGTATCCTAAACTTACAAATTACTGAATCAATCAATTCTAACAGTCTCTTGGTGAAGTCAAGGTTTGTCCAGTATGTAGAGTCTCACTATCTGCAAACAGTGATCATGTGACTGCCCGCCTTCTTATTCATATCCCTTTTGTTTTTTAAAAATGCTTTCTTTACTTCACTTTCCCCCTTCTATATGACTTCATTTTTGTTTCAGTTAGTCATACACAGTCCTTTAAGTCTACTTTTACATTTTATTTTTAATTGCAATTTTTGTACAATATATTTTGATCATCTTTCCCCTTTCCCAATTCTTCCCAGATTCCCCACCTCCTTATCCACCCAACTCAGTATCGTCTCTCTCTCTTTTGAAAAAGGAAGAAACAAAAATGAAAGCAAAACAAGAATCAAAACCAGAAAAATAACAAATAAAAGGATACAGTCAAAAGACAAATAAAAATGTCCAAACAAATAAAAATAAAAAAAGTCCACAAAAATACCATCGAGTTCATTTCCTGCTGGCCAACGACTCCTAGACTTGAGGCCTGCCTTGGAGTCTAGTTGATAGACCAAGTGACACTCCATTGGAGAAATCGGATTTTCCCTTTATCAGTGATTATCAGTTCCAGATAGTGTCTTGGTTTATAGGCGGCTTGATCTGTGCAGGTCTTACGTGTGCTGCTTCAGTCTCTGTGAATTCATGTGTACACCAGCCAAGTCGTATATGGAAGACACTGTTTCTCTGGAGTCATTTACCACTCACGCTCTTCCTGCTTCCTTTTCTACAGAGATCCCTGAGCCTTGAGGGGAGGGATTTGACCCAATTTAGGACTGAGGGCTCCATAGTCTCTCACTCTCTGCACATTGTCCAGTTGTGAGTCTCTGGATTAGTGGCCATATACTGCAAGATGTTTCGTTTATGTGGGTTGAGTGAGGCAGTGATCTAAATAGCATTATGTCATTAGGAGTAATTTTACTGCTATGTTCTTTTATCAGAATAATAGTATTAAGTTTTCCCTTAGTTCTAAAACCTATCTAGTCTTCATCCAGTCAATCTCAATATTTTACCAGTGTCAGGTATGGGTTCCATATCATGGATGGTCCTTAAATCCAATCAAAGAAGTGGTTGAGTCACAACTACATTAGTTTGTCTTGCAGTCATTTTAGTTGTAGGTCATAGTCTAAAGCAAGTGATTTTGATGCCTACCTTTCTCCTCTGGTTGTGTGTAGAGAAACTTGCAGGAGCATGAACACTATAATGGTGCTTCTAGTTAGGCACCTACTCAACTTTTCCATATTCAATCAGGTTTTTCATGTTTAATGAGATATTTAAGTGTTGTCTTCAGCAGTCGGACCTGATCATCAAATTGTAGTGAGCAACCAATAGCCTTGACAATAGCTGTGATGTTTGGGAAGCCTCAGTGAGCCCTTTTGGCCAATGACTCAACAAACTGTAAACTATTGCCAGCACTGGAGGTTTTACTTGGTGGATTAATATGTCTAGTTGGAGCAATGTCTCCTCCATTATTTGGTGACTTCATTTATATTTCTTTCATATATGTATACATTTAGTTAACACCCATAGATCTGTGGGATCTGGGTTACCTCAGGATGATTATTTTTCTAGCTCCATCTATTTGTCTGCAAATTTCATTTTTTGGATTTTTTTGTGTTTTTTTTTTTTTTGTGTGTGTGTGTTTTGAGACAGGGTTTCTCTGTAGCTTTGGAGCCTGTCCTGGCACTAGCTTTTGTAGACCAAGCTGGCTTCAAACTCACAGACATCTGCCTGCCTTTGCCTCCTGAGTTCTGGGATTAAAGGTGTGTGCCACCACTTCCTGGCACAAATTTCATTTTTTAAACACATGAATAATATTCCTTTGTGTAAATGTATATATTTTCACTATACATTCATTAGTTGATGGACATTTAGGCTATTTCTAGCTTTTAGCTATCATGAATAGAGCAGGAGTGAACATGGATGAACAAGCATCTCTGTAGTAAGATGTCAAATCTTCAGGCATATGCCCAAGAGTTGTATAGCAGTATCTTGAGGTAGATCAATTCCCAGTGTCCTGAAGAACCAGCACACTGATTTCCATAGTCGCAGCACCAGTTTGCATATTGACCCCATGGAGAATCTACCCTCTCTGAGGAGTGGATGGGGGGTGGCATGGGGGGGGAAGGTGGAAGGAGTGGGAACTGGAATGGATATGTATTATTAAAAATAAATTAGTTGAAAAAATAATTCCATGGCTCATTTCTTCATGGATTTTATCATGAAGGATTTTGTATTTTTTTAATGTTTTTTCTTCATTCATTGGATTGATCAGATAGCCTTTTATATTTCATTGTGTTTGTGTGTTATGTTATACTATAAATTGTGTGGATTTTAGTTTATTATCTAAGTAAAACTCTGTGAGTGTTGTGAAATAGGTAGGAATGCCCACATCCATAGTGGTATAGTTTGCTAGTAATCTCGCTCTTACCCTGCAAATGTTACAACCTACATGTGACTGCAGAATACCCCTCCCCCGGAGTAGTGGAGCTATGGGTGGTGGATGCCAGAGCCTGTGGTTCCTCCCAGGTCTATGATTCTTACAATGGTCCACTCTCACTTCCTAGTTCCAGTATTCTCCCATGGCCATTCATCTCAGAATATAGCTACATCCATAGTCGTTGCATGGAGAGCAGGGGGCCTTTGTTTGACCCAGCTGCCTGGCTAGCTTACACCCGGAATAATCACACAGAAACTGTATTCATTTAAATACTGCCTGGCCCATTAGATCTAACTTCTTATTGGCTAATTCTTACATCTTAACTTAACCCATTTCTATTAATCTGTGTATTGCTATGTGACTGTGGCTTACCAGCAAAATTCTAATCAGTATCCATCTCAGGCAGGAGATCCATGGTGTCTGCCACTCTGCCCTTCTTCCCAGCATTCAGTTCTTTCTATTCCACCTACCCAAATCTGTCCTATCAACTAGGCCAAGGCAGTTTTTTTAATTCATTACTCAATGAAAGCAACACACAGACAGAAGGATCTCCTACACCAGTGGTTCATCCTTACAGAAGAGGGTATGGATGGCATGGTGCCCTCATCCTCTATTCTGAAATGTCAGGGTTAGTGGTTTATATGCTCACCCAGGAATTTCTCTTTAGTTTGAATTCCACTAGGAAGGCCAAGAAAAACAGTTTAAATTAGAGACAAAGAGGAGTAGAATGTAAAATTCTATTTAGAAAATTGTTACTCTTTTACTAAATGTGCTTTGGTTGGCCTTTTCTTTGAACTGCAAACTTGGTAAAAAAAAAAAAATTAAAGCTCTTAACTAGTTTTGACATTCTGGAAATTATCATTGAAACAACAGTTGTAGTAAACTTTATGCTGAAGTTAATATATTATATAGATTTTTTCTGTTCCCTCTTTTCTTTACAGTTCATAACAAATTCATGAGTTTTTTCCTTTTAGTCAAGAACATATTAATACTTTTATTCTATAGGAAATGTAGGGGGTTCCTTAATTTTCACTGGCATGGATATTTCCATTCATGTATTTGATAGAGGAAGTCTATAACACATAAATCTCATTCCCATAGCTTGGATTATATTAGGAAATGGCCATTTGGAATTATATTTATTCTTTTCTGTGTTGATAATAATTAATAAAATAATTTCCAGTCAATTCAACATAGAGTCTTTCTGTAAATGATTTGAACAGTAATTGAACAGAGGAAAGGATTAGATGTGGTTGATATTTTTCCTTCTTTTGACTCTGCATTGTTAGCATCTGAGTATTTACTTCTACTAGTTGCACAGAGGTAAAGGGAAATGTACATCTGACCCCTTGGCAGGGAATTATGTTTGTAGAGATAAAAAAGAGAAACTATATTCAGATGAAAAGTTTATTGCCAAATTCCAATTCAATACAATGTTCTGATTCTTCTGTCTAGGAAATCATGACAATAAATTCAATAGTAATACAGAGCTCCAGAGGTAACATAAAAGATAAAAATATTCACAATCTCCACCCAGGAAACAATCAAATTCTTAGTTCAGGATATGGAGTGTGTGAGAATATTACTAGAAAATTGTGACTCCTAAACTACATCCTGTGCTTCCTGGATAAGTTTAATCAAAAATTAAAACAACATGTGGAAAACCCCAATGGTTTTCTCATAGAAGTTCTAAATATTCATCTTGATTTCCCCAACCAAAACCATACATCTTTAATCTTGTACCTCTGAATATAGTTCCAATACATTTTAATTGACTATCTTCTGTCCAAGAAGCTCAGTGTCTATGGAGTCCTACAAAAAGATCTTGCACCAAAACAACATTACAATAGTAATACAGTTAATATGAAAGGTTAAACCACCTACTGGCAAAATAAGGAATCATATTAAATGTGTGATTGTCTTACTATGCATCTACTTTCTTCTTTGGTTTAATTTTTATCTTGTTTTATCGTATTTTTTACTCTCTTCTCAATAAAAATAGTGGTATTTTTGTTCTTGGACATATGTGTATAGTGGAGTGTTGCTATCTATGTAGGCAGAAGCTGAATTCATTTCCCCCTTTTCATGGTAACCTCTGGATTCAGTGTCCCTTGTCTCTTGGTCATCTACATATTGACTATATATTCTGATAGTCCCTGATGAATCAGATCCTGGCTCCTGTCCTTGTTTCCCCTCACCTGATGAGGTTGCACATGGTAAATAGTTACACTCTTCAGTTCCCATACGGGATAGGCTCTGAAGAGAGCTGTTGAGAGAAGATCTTTGATTTCTATTTCTACTGTCACTTGACAGCTGGTAGATATCATTTGATTGGCCATGGTTATATACTTGACTTTTATTAGTGCTGAATCCAGATTGATTTCCAATTGAACTGGATTCCGAATTGTCCTGAAATAATATATATTGACTATGGCCAAAACCAGATTGGTCAACTGGCTGGTTTGGAGTAGTTTCTTGTTTTTCTTTCAGACTGTACCTGTACTTAAAATCACAGTCATTCAAATGCTCAGGTGTTACTCCAGAATGGCCAAGACTAGAGACTAGAGTTCCACCTGTACTAGATCCAGTCAGATTGTAGTGATCAACTGGTTGCCCATGATCTGTATCTGCTTCTCTATATTTTAACACCAGCTCTCCCATTCCTTCATTTGCTTTGGATCCTAGATGGTGAGAAAGAGAGAAAGACTGTCCATATCTTGACACTTGTGTGTGTGTAGGTCTATGCGATGACCTCAAAGGACTAGAATTGCGACTGCTAGTTCTGCTGCCTTCAGAAGGTCCATATCCTGATTGTCCATAGTCATAATCTTCACGGCCATAGCTGCCATGTCTCCAACGTTGACTAGAACTATATTGGTTGCCAGTACTATGTGACCTATAATGCCTTGTATCAGACTGGACATGTGCGTTGCTTGATTGTTTGCTTAGACGGTCCCTTGACTGCCAGTGAGTACTATCTGTTGCAGTATGACTATAACCCGACTCTCCATGTTGTGATTTAGGGTCTCTATGGGACTGAAGCCCAACATGGCCCTTAGTGGATCCTGAGTATCTCCTTGATACCACTGAGTGTTCCTCATGCTCACTGGAATCACTGCGCACAGGTGACTCCCTAGGACTTCTCCCAAACCTTGATTCTGAGGCTTCAGCATGGCCAGACTGAGGTTGTCTACTACTGTCCCTAGATTGCCTTTGAGAACCCCTCTGGCTTCTGTGAACTGTGGGCCCAGAAACTCCATGCTGAAGTCCACCCTGACCCTTAGTGGATCCTGAGTATCTCCTAGAAACTACTGTGTTTTCCTCACCTTCACTGGACTCAGAGTGAACAGGTATCCCTCCAGCACCTTTTGTACTTCCTGAATGTGAGGTCTCTTCATGACCAGACTGAGACTGTCTACTGCTGTCCCTAGATTGTCTTTGAGGTCCTCCCTGACTTCCATGACCTGCTGACCCCGATTCTCCATGCTGATAGCCACCAAGACCCTGAGAAGATTCTGAGTGTCTCCTTGAAACAACTGAGTGTTCCTCACCTTCACTGGACTCAGGTTGAACAGGTGTCCCTCTTGGACCTTTTGTAGCTCCTGAATGTGAGGGCTGCACATGCCCAGACTGAGAGTGTCTACTGCTGTCCCTAGATTGTCTTTGAGGACCTCCCTGGCTTCCATGACCTGCTGGCCTCGATTCTCCATGCTGGTGTCCACCATGACCTTGGGGAAATTCTGAATGTCTTCTTGAAACTACTGAGTGTTGTTCACTATCACTGGACTCTGGGTGAACTGGTGCCCCTCTGGGTCTTCTCTGAGAGCCACCATGTGATGGCTGCTCATGCCCAGACTGAGGCTCTCTACTACTGTCCCTAGATTGTCTTTGAGGACCTCTCTGACTTCCATGACCTGCTGACCCTGATTCTCCATGCTGATGTCCACTATGACCCTGAGAAGATTCTGAGTGTCTCCTTGAAACAACTGAGTGTTCCTCACCTTCACTGGACTCGGGGTGAACAGGTGTCTCTCTTGGACCTTTTGTAGCTCCTGAATGTGAGGGCTGCACATGTCCAGACTGAGACTGTCTACTACTGTCCCTAGACTGTCTTTGAGGACCCCCCTGCCTTCCATGACCTGCTGACCTTGATTCTCCATGCTGATGGCTACCATGACCCTGAGAAGATTCTGAATGTCTCCTAGAAACTACTGAGTGTTCCTCACCTCTACTAGACTCTGGGTGAACAGGTGCCCCTCTGGGTCTTCTCTGAGAGGCACCATGTGATGGCTGCTCATGCCCAGACTGAGGCTCTCTACTGCTGTCCCTAGATTGTCTTTGAGGACCCCCCTGGCTTTCATGACGTGCTGACCCCGATTCTCCATGCTGGTGTCCACCATGACCCTGAGAAGATCCTGAGTGTCTTCTTGAAACTACTGAGTGTTCCTCACCTTCACTGGACTCAGAGTGAACTGGTGCCCCTCTTGATCTTCTTGAAGGCCATGAATGTGAGGTCTGTGCATGTCCAGACTGAGATTGTCTACTGCTCACCCTAGATTGTCCTTGGGGACCTCCTTGGCTTCCATGGCCTGCTGATCCTGACTCTCCATGCTGATGTCTCCCATGACCCTGTGGAGATCCGGAGCTTCTTTCTGAAACTACAGAATGTTCTTCATCTTCACTGGACTCAGGGTGAACTGGCACCCTTCTGGGTCTTCTCTGAGAGCCACCATGTGATGGCTGCTCATGAACAGAGTGAGGCTCTCTACTACTGTCCCTAGATTGTCTTTGAGGACCCCCCTGGCTTCCGTAGCCAGCTGACCCTGACTCTCCATGCTGATGTCCACTATGACCCTTAGAAGATCCTGAGTGTCTCCTAGAAACTACTGAGTGTTCCTCACCTCTACTAGACTCTGGGTGAACTGGTGTCTGTCTTGGTCTTCTCTGAGAGCCGCCATGTGATGGCTGCTCATGCCCAGACTGAGGCTCTCTACTGCTGTCCCTAGATTGTCTTTGAGTAGTGCCTCCCTGGCTTCCATGGCCTGCTGACCCCGATTCTCCATGCTGGTGTCCACTATGACCCTGAGAAGATTCTGAGTCTCTCCTTGAAACTACTGAGTGTTCCTCACCTTCACTGGACTCAGGGTGAACTGGTCTCCCTCTGGGTTTTCTCTGAGAGCCACCATGTGAGGTCTGTTCATGCCCAGACTGAGACTGTCTACTGCTGTCCCTAGATTGTCTTTGAGGTCTTCCCTGACTTCCATGGCCTGCTGACCCTGATTCTCCATGCTGATGTCCACCATGACCCTGTGGAGATCCTGAACTTCTTTCTGAAACTACAGAATGTTCTTCACCTTCACTGGACTCAGGGTGAACTGGTCTCCCTCTGGGTCTTCTCTGAGAGGCACCATGTGATGGCTGCTCATGCCCAGACTGAGGCTCTCTACTGCTGTCCCTAGATTGTCTTTGAGGACCCCCCTGGCTTTCATGACGTGCTGACCCCGATTCTCCATGCTGGTGTCCACCATGACCCTGAGAAGATCCTGAGTGTCTTCTTGAAACTACTGAGTGTTCCTCACCTTCACTGGACTCAGAGTGAACTGGTGCCCCTCTTGATCTTCTTGAAGGCCATGAATGTGAGGTCTGTTCATGTCCAGACTGAGATTTTCTACTGCTCTCCCTAGATTGTCCTTGGGGACCTCCTTGGCTTCCATGGCCTGCTGATCCTGACTCTCCATGCTGATGTCTCCCATGACCCTGTGGAGATCCGGAGCTTCTTTCTGAAACTACAGAATGTTCTTCACCTTCACTGGACTCAGGGTGAACTGGTCTCCCTCTGGGTCTTCTCTGAGAGCCACCATGTGATGGCTGCTCATGCCCAGACTGAGGCTCTCTACTGCTGTCCCTAGATTGTCTTTGAGGACCCCCCTGGCTTCCATAACCTGCTGCCCCTGACTCTCCATGCTGATGTCCACTATGACCCTGAGATGATTCTGAGTGTCTCCTAGAAACTACAGAGTGTTCCTCACCTCTACTAGACTCGGGGTGAACAGGTGTCTGTCTTGGTCTTCTTGAAGGCCCTGAATGTGAGGGCTGCTCATGCCCAGACTGAGGTTCTCTACTACTGTCCCTAGATTGTCTTTGAGGTCCTCCCTGGCTTCCATGGCCTGGTGACCCTGATTCTCCATGCTGATGTCTACCATGACCCTGTGGCGATTCTGAATGTCTCCTTGAAACTACTGAGTGTTGTTGACTATCACTGGACTCAGGGTGAACTGGTGCCCTTCTGGGTCTTCTCTGAGAGCCGCCATGTGATGGCTGCTCATGCCCAGACTGAGGCTCTCTACTGCTGTCCCTAGATTGTCTTTGAGGACCCCCCTGGCTTCCATGACCTGCTGTCCCTGATTCTCCATGCTGGTGTCCACCATGACCCTGAGAAGATTCTGAATGTCTCCTAGAAACTACTGAGTGTTCCTCACCTTCACTGGACTCGGGGTGAACAGGTGTCTGTCTTGGTCTTCTTGAAGGCCATGAATGTGAGGTCTGTTCATGTCCAGACTGAGATTGTCTACTGCTGTCCCTAGATTGTCCTTGGGGACCTCCTTGGCTTCCATGGCCTACTGATCCTGATTCTCCATGCTGATGTCCACCATGACCCTGTGGAGATCCTGAACTTCTTTCTGAAACTACAGAATGTTCTTCACCTTCACTGGACTCAGGGTGAACTGGTCTCCCTCTGGGTCTTCTCTGAGAGGCACCATGTGATGGCTGCTCATGACCAGACTGAGGCTCTCTACTGCTGTCCCTAGATTGTCTTTGAGGACCCCCCTGGCTTCCATGACCTGCTGCCCCTGACTCTCCATGCTGATGTCCACTATGACCCTGTGGAGATCCTGAACTTCTTTCTGAAACTACAGAATGTTCTTCACCTTCACTGGACTCAGGGTGAACTGGTCTCCCTCTGGGTCTTCTCTGAGAGGCACCATGTGATGGCTGCTCATGCCCAGACTGAGGCTCTCTACTGCTGTCCCTAGATTGTCTTTGAGGACCCCCCTGGCTTCCGTAGCCAGCTGACCCTGACTCTCCATGCTGATGTCCACTATGACCCTGAGAAGATCCTGAGTGTCTCCTAGAAACTACTGAGTGTTCCTCACCTCTACTAGACTCTGGGTGAACTGGTGTCTGTCTTGGTCTTCTCTGAGAGCCGCCATGTGATGGCTGCTCATGCCCAGACTGAGGCTCTCTACTGCTGTCCCTCGATTGTCTTTGAGGACCCCCCTGGCTTCCATGACCTGCTGACCCTGATTCTCCATGCTGATGTCCACCATGACCCTGTGGAGATCCTGAACTTCTTTCTGAAACTACAGAATGTTCTTCACCTTCACTGGACTCAGGGTGAACTGGTCTCCCTCTGGGTCTTCTCTGAGAGGCACCATGTGATGGCTGCTCATGCCCAGACTGAGGCTCTCTACTGCTGTCCCTAGATTGTCTTTGAGGACCTCCCTGGCTTCCATGACCTGCTGCCCCTGACTCTCCATGCTGATGTCCACTATGACCCTGAGAAGATCCTGAGTGTCTTCTAGAAACTACTGAGTGTTCCTCACCTCTACTAGACTCGGGGTGAACTGGTGTCTGTCTCGGTCTTCTCTGAGAGCCGCCATGTGATGGCTGTTCATGCCCAGACTGAGGCTCTCTACTGCTGTCCCTCGATTGTCTTTGAGGACCCCCCTGGCTTCCATGACCTGCTGACCCCGATTCTCCATGCTGGTGTCCACCATGGCCCTGAGGAGATCCTGAGTGTCTCCTTGAAACTACTGAGTGTTCCTCACCTTCACTGGACTCAGAGTGAACTGGTGCCCCTCTTGGTCTTCTTGAAGGACCTGAATGTGAAGGCTGCTCATGCCCAGACTGAGGCTCTCTACTACTGTCCCTAGATTGTCTTTGAGGACCCCCCTGGCTTCCATGGCCTGCTGATCCTGACTCTCCATGCTGATGTCCACTATGACCCTGAGAAGATTCTGAGTGTCTCCTAGAAACTACTGAGTGTTCCTCACCTCTACTAGACTCGGGATGAACAGGTGTCTGTCTTGGTCTTCTTGAAGGCCCTGAATGTGAGGGCTGCTCATGCCCAGACTGAGACTGTCTACTGCTGTCCCTAGATTGTCTTTGAGGACCCCCCTGGCTTCCATAACCTGCTGACCCTGACTCTCCATGCTGATGTCCACCATGATTCTGAGGAGATCCAGATTGTCTCCTAGAAACTACTGTGTGTTCTTCACTCTCACTGGATTCACTGTGGACAGGTGTCCTTCTAGGTGTTCTTGAACGCCCTGAAGTAGAGGGCTGTTCTTGTCTAGAATGAGGCTTTCTACTGCTGTCTCCAGACTGTCTTTTGGGTGTTCCCTGTCTTCCCTGACCTTTGGAGCTTGACTCTCCATGGTGAATTTCTTCATGTCCATACTCTTGCCCTGAGCCAAATGACTTATTAGAGCCAGAACCATGTCTCCCATATCTAGAAGACTGACTTGGGCCAGACCCATATGGTGATGACTGACCATGTCCATACCCTTGCTGCCCAACGCCAGATGACTGTCCTGAATGAGACTTGTTCTGCCAAGAACTAGATGAGTGACTTGAACCAGATTTATGTTCTCCATACCCAGATGACTCACCTGGGCCAGACTCATACTGCCCAGCACTTGATGACCGACCTGAACCATGCCCATGCCTCCTATAACCCGTTGACTGACCTGAGTGAGACCCATGCTGCCCAGAGCTAGATGACTGACCTGAGAGAGACCCATGTTGCCCAGAGCTAGACGACTGACCTGAGAGAGACCCGTGCTGCCCAGAGCTAGATGACTGACCTGAGAGAGACCCATGTTGCCCAGAGCTAGATGACTGACCTGAGAGAGACCCATGCTGCCCAGAGCTAGATGACTGACCTGAGAGAGACCCATGCTGCCCAGAGCTAGATGACTGACCTGAGAGAGACCCATGCTGCCCAGAGCTAGATGACTGACCTGAGAGAGACCCGTGCTGCCCAGAGCTAGATGACTGACCTGAGAGAGACCCATGCTGCCCAGAGCTAGATGACTGACCTGAGAGAGACCCGTGCTGCCCAGAGCTAGATGACTGACCTGAGAGAGACCCGTGCTGCCCAGAGCTAGATGACTGACCTGAGAGAGACCCATGCTGCCCAGAGCTAGATGACTGACCTGAGAGAGACCCATGCTGCCCAGAGCTAGATGACTGACCTGAGAGAGACCCGTGCTGCCCAGAGCTAGATGACTGACCTGAGAGAGACCCATGCTGCCCAGAGCTAGATGACTGACCTGAGAGAGACCCGTGCTGCCCAGAGCTAGACGATTGACCTGAGAGAGACCCGTGCTGCCCAGATTTTGACGACTGACCTGAGAGAGACCCATGCTGCCCAGAGCTAGATGACTGACCTGAACCAGACTCTTGCCTCCCATAACCAGATGACTGACTTGGACCAGATCCATGTTTCCAAGTGCTAGATGACTGACCAGATCCAGATCCCTGTCCCCCATAGCCAGATGACTGACCTGGACCAGACTCATGCTGCCCAGAACTAGATAACTGACCAGAACCAGACCTTTGGTCACTGCAACCAGACAACTGACCTGAACCAGACGCATGCTGCCCATGTTGACCACAACCTGAGGATTGACCTGATGCCGTACCATGCTGGCCACAGCAAGACTGTCCTGATCCATGCCCATGTTGTTTAAAGCCAGAGGACTGTCTTGAATTTGTTCCATGTTGTTCACAGCAGGATGGCTGCCCTGAACCGGACACATGATGACCACATTTGGAATGTTCATTTGAACAACACCCCTTCTGTTGAGAGCTTGAACAGTGTCCACAGGAACTGCCTCCGTGCTGACCATAACCAGAATGTTGGGTTGCTCCAGATCCGCAGCATGATGAATGATGTGAGCTCACGCTCTGCTGTCTTCCACAGTGCTCTGCATGACCACATCCATATCCTCTCTGACTAGAAGACTGGCTGCAGGATCTAGGTTCAGTTTGACAACATCTAGACGACTGACCTCCAGAGACACATCCTCCGCTAGTTCCTGATTGACATCTTGACTGGGTAGAGCAAGACTGACTTCCTTGCCTCCCAGATGGACTTGCCTGACAAGAACTTGAAGCACTTTGTGGTCTGCAACATCCACTAGAATTGCTGTGACCACATGCATGACTTTGTGTTTTGCTGTTTTCTGAACTTGCAGAGCTAGGCCCAAGCTTTTGTTCTCCACCCTTTCTTGACTGAGTAGAATTTGATTCATGTTTGCTCTTCTCCAGTCCATGTGACAATCCACTATGACCTTTCCTTCCCTGACTGTTTAACCTAGATCCAGATTCATATTCTTCCCCAGCTTCTCTAGAGGACCTACCGTGTGACTTGTTTCTTTTTTCTTCTAGCTCTTCAGAGCTGGAACCATGCCTCTCTTTGTTACCGCTCCAAGATTGACCAGCGCTAGACCCATGGTGTTTTCTCCTGGGTTCCTCTGAGCTGGATAATTCACTGTGCCTTTCCAACCTCCTAGAGTTGGACCTATGTCGAGGTTTTGCAGTTCCCCATGAGCTCCCAGAACTATGTCCATGCTCCTCTCCCTCACTCCAACTCGAACGTCTGAAACCTGATTTCCGTCTTGGTATCTCTTCTTCCTCTTCTGTTTCACTTTCTTCCTTTCGATTTTGATGACCCTGCCTAGGCTTCTTTGACCCTGAAGCTTTACAGTATTCTTTTCCAAGAACCTTATTGCAGGCCATAGCCAATTTGAACACCATCAGAAGAAACTCAGTGAAATCTAGTCTTCGGTCATGATCTCGATCCAGCATATGCATGATGACATCTACTTTATCTGGATCATCTGGATTCTGAATATGAGAGACACACCAAGGATAACTTGGTTAGCCCAGCTTCATTTTCAAATAAAATAACCCAGTAGCACCTTGTATATATATTGTGTTATATAATTTTAATCTTCTGAGTATTACTTTAGGTTAATGAGACCTAGAATATATGAAAAGTTAATGGAAAAGACTATTGTGATCTGTGAAAGAAGATGACATTGTTCCTTGTTTGTTAAAATAATCAATTAGTTAATTTCTTAGCACTATATTATTTATTTGCTTGGAATGGGAAGCCTGAGTACATGAAAAAGTTGGATTCTTTAAGATGGAAGGGCACAGGAATGTATTGACGAAACATTTGTCTTTAAAATATATATGTTGAGCCGGGCGGTGGTGGCGCACGCCTTTAATCCCAGCACTCGGGAGGCAGAGGCAGGCGGATCTCTGTGAGTTCGAGACCAGCCTGGTCTACAAGAGCTAGTTCCAGGACAGGCTCCAAAACCACAGAGAAACCCTGTCTCGAAAAAACCAATATATATATATATATATATATATATATGTTGATTTAATAGATTTACGATGTCCTGGCTCAAAAGAATATTACTTGGGTTTTCTCAAAATCAGCTGGGGCTGTGCACTTTCCACCAAGCTTGGTCCTAGAACATGTACAGACCCCAACAGCCTTCAGACTTGACACGTACCTTCAGAATTGGGCGAAACTCTTTCTCCAGAAGTTCCTTTAGCTCATCCTTGCTCAGTGTGCCACATTCTCCATCTTGCTTGGTGTATTTGTAGAATATATCAATGACAGTGACAACACTTCTTAAGAGGTCTGTCATCTTTTCCCCCCAAGGTTAAATGAACCTACAGAGAGAGAAAAAACCATAGATAAAGAAAGAGACATAGAGAACTAATTTTCTTTTATTTTAATTTATCAACAGGTCTTATTTTAATATAATGCAGTGGTTTTCAACCTTTCTAATGCTGAGATCCTTTAGTATAGTTCCTCGTGTTGTAGTAACCCTCAAATATGCTTACTTTCATTGCTACTTCATATCTGTAATTTTGTTACTACTTTGAGTCATAGTGTAAATATTTGTAGGATATCCTATGTGTGACCACTGTGAAAGGGTCATGACATATGGGCTGAGAACTGCTGACAAAGTAATTTTTAAAACCTCTTTTCTTTCATCAACCTCAACTGTAAGTATGGCTCAGGATTTTTGTCGCACCAATCAGCACAATAAAAACTTGGGATGATCTCAGGTCTCCATAATATTTATCTTATGAATATATTCTTTTTATGATATTTCTTTGAGTATTTTTGTGTCCTGGGTGTTACTCTGGGCTTCCAAAACTCCCAATACAACAGAGACACCACAGCCCCAGTCTGTCTAGTCTCTTCTGTTTTCTCCTACCCTTTTCTCTTCCTCTCCATGCCTCTCCTTGCCTATTCTTTTATTTTCTGTTTCTTTTGTTTTTTGTTTCTTTCCTGGCATGAGTGTGATACATTCATGTGTTTGCATGAGTGTGTATGCACATTTGTGTTTGAGGACAGATAGGCATATATTTGCATAAATCATCATTCACATTGTTTATATCTTTTCTGTATATGTGAGTGAATTCGTGTGTGTGTGTGTGTGTGTGTGTGTGTGTGTTTGTATGTGCTCATGACAACAGGCACACAGGTACCACAGTACATGCGTGGAGATCAGAGGACAACCTCAGGTGTTGCTCATCACTTTCCACATAGCTTGAGTCATGGTTTCCTTTTTGTGTGTTGTTCATCACTGTGTTGCTGGACTAGCTATGGAACTTTGGGATTTCCCATGTGCATTACTTTATGCAGGATCTGGGCATTTGAGTTTGGGTCTCCTCACTTGTATCATAAGTTCTTTAGACACTGAGCCATTTTCCCAGCCTTCCACCTTATATTCGAGACAAGGTCTCTCAATGAATCTGGAGCTCATTGATTTGGCTGGATTGGCTAGCAAATGAGTTCTACAGAGCCACCTGTTTCTGTCCTTATGTCAGCACTGGCTATAGACACATGCTACCACACCCTGCCTTTCTACAGGGGCTCTGTGTCTGAACGCAGGTCTTTGTGCTTGTATGACAGGCGCTTTACTTGTTCAGAGCTCAGACTCTTTTTTTTCTTTCCTTTTTTCCCCTTTCCTTTCCCTTTCTTCTGTCCTTTTGCTTTCTTTTTGAGACAGGATCTCATGTAGCTCATTCTGGCCTCAAAAAGTTGCTTTGTAGCCAAGCTTGGCAATTGACTCCTAATCTCCCTTCTTCCACCATTCCCAGCTGGGGCAAAAGTAACAGATACCTTAACATTTAAATCCCTTTTGTTCATCAGAAAGCAAACTAGACCCCAAAATACCATGAAGAATTGAAAGTGGGCAAAGTGTGTCAATAATATCTTGGTACTGTAGATCCTATAGCTATAATGGCCTTTAGAACAGAAACTGTCAAAACATCAACCCTCAAGAAAACACCAAGTAAACACCGTTCCTTCCAAATGTTACCAATTCAGGTAAGAAGTTGAAAGTGGAGAACTAGATCTCAACACTCTCCAAACCAAAAGTGAACCACAAACAAACTACACCATAATACCCGTCGCTTTCACATGGCGCAGAAAGATGGTGTGTGGTTAAATTAGGGAGAATATGAGATGGCCTAAAACAGTGGTTCTCAATCTTCCCAGAGTTGTGACCCTTTAGTACAGTTCTGCAAGTTGTGGTGACCTCCAGCCACATTATTTTTGTTGCTACTCCATAACTATAATTTTTCTGTTGTTATGGATCATAATGTAAATATCTGATATGCAGGATATCTGATATGAGACTCCCATGAGAAGGTTGTTTGACCCCCAAAGGGACCAAGACCCATAGATTGAGAACCTCTGGCCTAGACAAAGACAGACTTCTACTGGATTTATTCTCCTCAATAAAGACATTGATTTCTAAAGACTCAAGTATAAACTAAATTAACCAAACAGACAGCAAACCAAAAATAAAAGAAACAACAACAACAAAAAAAGTAGCAAAATACAGTACTCTCTATGCCTGAGCTCAGACTCGGCTCACAATATCTGGCCCAAGAACACCAAGTACCATACATTTAAATTCTTCTCACCTGATACACCAAAGGAACAAATAGGATAAGGCCTGATGCAGCTTGCAGGGTGTTGATAGATGGGGACAGTGACCCTTATATAGCTTGGGTGCTGTCTTCTGTGGGATGGACTGATTCATTTCTAATCAAATGTAACTCCACCCCTTGCATGTTTATCTTCCTTCTTCACATTCTCACCTGTAGGATGATTGCAGAGAGGGTGATAATGGCCCCACCTTCCACAATAGAGATATGCTCTGGGACGCTTTCTTGTAGGGTCGCACACAGTGAAATGCAGAGCCTTTGCTGGAGAAGATTAGTTTGTGCAATTGGTTTTCTTTATCTAGTGTTCAAAGAAGATAACAGAGTGAAAATACTTGGCAGGAGCACAGTGAAGTTTTTTTTTTAATTTAAAATAAACCCAGGCCAATAAGCTTGTCCAATTCATGACTATTGCAACAACATTACACTATCATTTTTTTTGAGAATTTACGGTATTCAGATACTGTGTTGACTATATCTCTCTTGTGTTGTCACATAATATTTGCATGTGTATGTTTTTCCCACATTTCAACTGAAGACACAGATTTAAAAACATTCAAAGTCATAGCTATATGATGGAAAAACCAAGATTTAAACACATAATTCTTATTGTAGTGCTGCTGCTGTAACCATTATGTTAGTTTACCCTTATTATATAGCCATTATGCAAAAATGAATTTGAGGTTTATACCATCTATATACCATTTTAAGAATGCCAGGTCTACTGAACTGCAACTAATATGAAAGGCTAATGTATGAGATGCTGCAAGCCATGAAAAGAAGATCTCTTCTCTGATGCTGTGTAGGCTAATTGGCTATCTAAGTATAGGGTCCATAAATAAAGGTAATGTTTTCATAAGATGAA